TAACTATGAGGTTTATTTCTAAATATGAATGTATGCATTCGAAACGTTATTCCCTTTTCTGTTTTCATATATAATTTTTATTCACAATTTTATTATTGTTTAAATAAATAAATTAATAATTTATAACTTGATTAGAGAATGTGAGATTTGCGACTGACACACTTTTTGTGATAATCGTTAATAAATAATTAATCGAAAAGAATTTCGCGTTAAAAATGATATAAGAAATTTATCCGTATTTTCAGCTTTAAGATGCGAGCTTAAAAGTGTATAAATTTTTAATAGAAAACTGATAATTAATGAATTTTCAATGTTGCACTCAAAATGATGAGGAATATTAAGTGACGCACACCATATTGGCGCGTTTTTTCTATCCTTCTCATATAATGTTATTCTCCTTTTCTAACTATGACGTCACGAATACCTCCTTGCATATTCTATATTCCTACTAACAAGTCGAAGCTTTCAGGATCCAAACGCGAGATGGCGTTGAAACTGGAATAATTTTCTATCCTTGTTTAATTAATGAGTGAAATATACTTTATTAAAAATTTGAAGATCAAAGAAAGGCATATTTGAAATTAATTATAATTTAAAAATTATTTAAATGTGGTGAAAAATAGAAATAATAAAGAAAAAATATTTTTGAAAAAATAAATGTATTTTAAAAATACATGCCATATATGTAAGTAAATATATAAGTAAATATAATATAAACGAAGTATTATTTATTTGGTTAGGTTATGTAGAAATATATAATTAAATTTTTATGTTTTCAAATAAATTACATGCATTTCTATAGATTTATTTATTATTAAAAAAATTATGCTTTATATTGCAAGGTTTTGTGTGTGTGTATATGTATATATATATATATGTCAAAAATTAATATAATAGCATAAAAATTATAAATAAAAATTAAGAAAGTTGATGAGCCCTGTTTTTATTGTGAATTTTAAAGGTATGCATAAATATATATAATAATTTTAATTTTTAATTTTATTTATTTGCAAATACGAAAAATAATCTAAAGAATTATTTGTCTCTATCTCTGATATTTATATATTATTTATATATATTTATATATATTATATATTGGTGTAATATGGCATAATGAACAGAACTAAGTCAATAAGAACATCACATTCTGTTCGCATCTTTTATAAATTTTAAAATAATAATATCAATAAAATAAATAAAATTATATATGAGATATAAATAAAAATATAATATGTATGTTTAATTATATATATATATATATATATATATATATATATATATGTATATATATATTTGTAGAATTATAATGTAATATATAAAAAAAAAAATTTATGCATAAAATATATATATATTTTCATATGATATGTAAAAAATCAAATTTATATATACCTAAATATTTCAAAATACAGAGAAACAATATATTTTTTATTTATTCTATTGTAATTTATTAACTGAAATATCATATTAAACATCGGAATATAAGGATGAAAGGGATAACTGAGAACAGTAGTCTTGTGAAGTTGAGGAAACTAATCGTCAAATCATGCGATATTATATTTTTTCGCTTCTTTTATTTGACTAGACAAACTTTATTTAGTCAGAATTTATCATGAAATGAATAAATTTTCTGGGATTTTTAGTTACGTTGGCAACCATTATGATATTCTTAATCGATATTCGCGTTCCAGTCTCTGTGTGTTTCCAGGTCGCGGTTACGCGGTAATGCTTTACTTTCCTCGATGTTGGTAGCATCGTTTGTTTCGGAAGCAAGACGTGCACTCGCTTCGTTCAATAACACGCTGCTCGTTTCTAGGCTTCATTAGTAGCTTGAAATAGATTCGTATTGCTGAATTTAACTTTCAATCGATTCCTTTGTATGAGACTAAAGTGTATAAAGATTATTCGTATTTTTATTATTGTCTGTCATTACTTTTAGAATAAACACGTTAGAATAGCCACATAATACATGCATTGAAATACGTTAAATGTGTTGCCACGTGAAGAAAAGTGAAAACATTGTGAATTAACTGTGTTATATTATGAGAAAAGGATCGTAAAAATAATTGGATGTATATCGAATTTGTTGAAAATACACAAAATGAGAATTGAAATTTAATTGCAAGCAGCGTATCTATCTACTTGTATAACTATAGAAAGAGAAGGAGGACGGACATGGAAGGGGTTCGAACTTCCCGTCTATTCTTCAGCATGTTAGTTCTGCGGTTCACGAACGAGCACATGTCGATTGTTCGCACCAGGATCGCAATATTTCGCTCTTTCGCTTTCTTCTTGTACGAGATATATTATTGTTACGTTTTAGAAAGCAAATTCACTACCCTCGGTGAGGATAAATCCTTTTTTCGTAACATACTTGGCGTATTACCCTCGCAAATGAATTATTCCATAGATTGACAAAGAATCGTTAAAAAAGTATTTCTTGAAAGTTTGTCACGTGACCTTGAATGACGTCACAGAGGCCAATAGGAAACCTTCCAAACGGCGTTATAACCCGAACTACCGGAGCAAGAGTTCGTGTGACGTCATCTGCGCAGTCGAGCCATGCGCATCCGTCTGTGTCCAACGACGTGACCGAGGTAGAATCAATTGTAGATTTGCAATAAAAGTCTTTCTCCCTTCGATCCTTCCATCATTAAGTTGACGGTGATTTTTCATCTTAGCATTGAAAGTTTATTTGAGATTCATTAATGTGGTTATTATGGTTATTGATACAAGTTCTTATTTGCGTGATTTCTTAATTTTTGTGCTTCATCTGTATTGTTCAACTATTTTCTACTTTGGTCTATGATGATATCCTTGATTAGAGAGGAATATCTATATGATAGTTCTGAAAGCGACCGAGAAAGAATTTATTGCCTGCGACGTGTGATGGAACGGGAGAAATATATACGTTCTAAAGCAAAGGCTAGCGGCAACGTCGCAAACCGTTTGTCGGACTCAGCCGCCGAGTCACCGACTTTTCGAGGCCACGGGACGTTGTGTGCTCGTGTGTTTAAATTCATTTCGATTACGAGCGCGATCTATCGGTGCTGAAAAATATGAGCTCAAGGACGAGCTTTTCCCGCACGCTTGTGCCCGAATCTCGGTCGGTAACGCAGAGATTTACTTTCCCCTCTTCGTTCGTGTTCCACTTATGGCTAACCTTGCGACTCTGAATGGCAGCGTTGCGGAGTTCACGCTTTTTCTTTTTTAACCGTTAACTGTTTTTGCACACCGTTGTAAGATTTATTATCGAACGATTCTTTTTAAAAATTCTGGATATATTTTCTATTTTTAGATTAACAGCCGAATATGGAAATGTTATCGTTTATTTGCAAGAGATTGCAAGAGAAAGTGACAAAATATTTCTAATTCATTTATTGGTTTTCTTGAGAGTAATATTCTTTTTTGTAAATTTTGCTTTTTATATTATTTACGATATTTATATAATAGAATAGAAAAAAATATGAATATAAATGACATAATTCTAATTAATTTTTATTATTCTAAGAATTTTATTCTATTTCGAAATTATTTTACAATTAATAAAAATAAGAATCATTTTTAGAAGATTTTAATCATTATTTTATTCCTAAATTAAAATATAATTTTGCATTTACCGATTGCTATAAAGAATAATTTTGTCTTGAACAAGTTTATTTTTCAGTTATCTGCATAAAAACATTGGATAAAGCGTTTCATTGAATTATCTTATAATTATTTTTTTTTTTCTCATTAATATCCCAAGTTATTTTTAGTTTTATTCGAATATTTCGTTTAAACGTCTCGCAAAATATAAAGAAATGAAATTCAAGTATTTGCAAATTTCTTTCGATAAAGGAAAATATTAGGTGTTTATTTCATTTGCATTTCATTATAATTAATTTGAAATTTTTGATAGAAATAGGACAAGGATACAATCGTTTGTTATATTTAATTCTCGCATAAGGAGGAGGAATGTGAATTATCAACTTAAATATTTACCAATGTAATATCGATAATTGAGATAGAATTAAGAATTTTTGTACGAATCAGAAATTTGTGTGCAAAGTTAAAAAACTTTCCATTGAAAATATTATTCGATACATTTAATCGATAAATTCGTTTATTTTTCTTTATTACATCAATTATATTTCTTGTACCGAGGAAACACTTTTATTGTATTATTTTTTTTCTTCCGTTTTATTCAGATTATTTAGCAAACTTTATCATTTTACAATTATATTTTTAAATTAATATTGTGCAATTAATATATATGTAAATTTTCATTTATAACCAACAATCCTAAAATTGAAATATGGAATTTATTTGTTTATTCTATAAATTTATTAATGTAAATGTAAATGATTAAACGATAATATAGATATATATTACAATTGCACAAAAAAGCATTAAAAAAAAAGAAAGTAATATAAGACTATTTTTTGCTTATATGCTATTTAATATTCTTTTATTGAAAAACTTGCATTTATTGTTTTAAATAATAATATGATATTATCATTTGAAAGTCTTACGCAATATTCTATTTGCTTTCGTTTCAATCTAAAGAAAGAATAATCTTTAATGTTAATACGACGAATGGAAAAATGCGGTCATTGTAAATTATTCATTATATTAAATTACAATATGCATGCGCCATAATATGTAATATGAAATACGATATGCAATAGGATTTGATGTGGGCAAATAAAATAATGCAGTTTTGTGTTATTATTTAATAACTTGATGAAAACAAGCTCGTGATTGCGTAATTATTGAATTAAACGGAAAATGAACAACGATTGAAAATAATTTTTTTGTTATTATTACATCTGTATGTTGTAACACAGAATATAAAATTGTAATATGAAAACTTATTAAAGAAACGATATTAAAGAAATTTTATTTGAAATTGAAGTGAATTCGAAAAAGATAATTTCGAATAATATATAAATAATAGCTTATATATATATATAATAATTCGAATGTGATTAATGATGCGATGTACTTTATTTTATTTACAGATTCGGCACATTAGGGAACAGGAAGGCTCGAATAGTCATGCCGTGCAACAGGGGGAAGTATCTTCTTCGAATCCTAACATACTGTCCAACGATCAAGTTGGTCCTATTTTACTTGAGGTATAATTCAATTTAAATCGAATTCCATCAATCTATTTTATCTTTATTGTTTGCGTTCATCGTTCATGTATATACGACAATCAGAAGGAAACATTTTTATTTCTGTTTATTGACGATTTAAAAGCAAATAGACAAAGTCCATTGAAGTTTACTTCGATAAATATTTTATCGGAATTAATTATCCTTAAATTTGAATCGATATAATTAAATTTAAAATTTTTTTTTAATATCGAGAAAAAAAAAATATATAATATTCGTATTATAATTTAATTTGATTGAAAATTTTTGTCCAGGCGCTAGATGGCTTTTTGTTTGTTGTAAATACGGAAGGACGAGTGGAATATGTAACAGATAACATAACGCAGTATATAAATTATACGAAGGATGATGTTCTTGGCAAGGATATTTATAATATTATTCATCATGGAGATCATAACACCTTTATGCCGAGTTTGTTGCCTATGCAATTAGGTTGGTATATCTTTCGAATATTATCTCGCAATAATAAAAAGTTACAATTCTGTAAGATAGTATAAATACCTTGAAAAATAAAATAAAGAGGATGAATAGAATACAATAAAATTTTCTTTTTGATTCGCTAAACGTGACATATAAATAATTATTATCGTAAAGAATGCAAAAAGTTAAAAAGTTAAAGTCGTAAAAATCTTTTTTCCCTTTATCCGATTGTCTGTCTGTCTGTCTATTGTCTCTCTCTGTCTCTGTCTCTCTCTCTTTCCGCGAATGGAGACAGTGAAAGATACACCGAGATTAAAATCTCGATCGAAGTGTAACGTGTTTCGTCCTCGCGATTATTTACGAGTGCGTTTCGCATACGTCGAGGGCACTTATAATGTAACTTTAGCATCTATTTACCGGATGGTGTGCACGTGTATATACTTTTTTCAGTTTATCTCATTTTGTTATGGAAGTTCGGTAGCAGCGCAACGGAAAGATTTATCTTGCGTAATGGAAGGAGACAGCTTTGAAATTGTATAGCGTAGCAGAAATGCGATGCCATCGGTGGTGCTCGTTGCTCATCGAAAATATGCGATGCGAATCGAAAAATATCCTATCCATTGTCTTTTCGTTTTTTTTTTCAAAATATATCGTTCAATTAATGAAGATTACGAAGCAATTCCTCTTTTATCGATCTTTCTTCTTCCGCTATCGCGTAAACGTTTCATTTTTTTGTTCTTTTGAAAAAATTGAAAATTTGACATTTCTCGATAATAATAATAATAATAATAACAACAACAACAATAACAATAATAATGTAATTTTACGATATCGAATAACGTAATAAATTTGACGTGCAATTTAGGCTGGACGAACGAGCAACAGCCCCAAAGAAACCGCACCTTCAATTGTCGCTTCTTGGTGAAGCCTCCTGATGATAAAGAAGAGACTATGGAAGAAAAGCAGCAACGAGTATCGAAATACGAATCTATGCAAATCTGTTCAGCTCTTTTGCCAAATAATAGCGATCGTCTGGAGAGCGGTGACGTATCTTCCGAATCTTCGGACAACGGTCCTTGCGTAATGTGCGTGGCTCGTAGGATACCCCCGAACGAAAAGCCCATTGGTACGCCCATCGAGCAATTTACCGTCAAATTGGACACCACGGGGAAGATTATCGCGGTTGATGTTATCTGGTTGTCGTCTCCTTACTCTGAGTACCTAAGCAAGGTAAGCAAGGTAAAGATTCCAGATCTATCTTGCTTCGAATTTGTTATTTTTCTCGAGTGCTAGTCATTCCCATCCGTTACTTAACATTACATCGATCTACTCTATTTAAATCGTAGATCGTAGATCGATTATTATATTTCAAATCTCATAATTTCATTACCGTATCGTTCTTTCAAATGAAAATATCTCTGATTTCGATTCCAATGATCGATCCTTGATTATAATTATATTCGTTCGTCGTTTTGTTGCAGGAGCTGATTGGCACTGCGATAAAGGATTTGTGCCACCCTCATGATCTCAATAAGCTAACAGCACATTTGAACGATACGCTTCAAGTCGGTGAGAGTACCAGTGGTGTATACCGATTACGCGTTAGTCCTGATAAGTTCCTTAATATTCAAACAAAGTCAAAACTTTTCAAAGCAAATGTGATGAATACACTTGTTACCGACTTCATTATGGCTACCAATACTATTATTGGGTAAGTTGAACGATTTTATACTTTCCTTTTTTATACGTATAGATATCGAGTTACGCGTTAGTCGTGAAATATAAACGTATATCTTCGAGATTGAAAAGATCACTCTCAGATTAATTTATTATTTTTACGAAATATAATATTCGATCGGGATCAGAGATGAGCAATTTTTTTTTTTTTTTTTTTTTTTCAAATTTTCATTCCAAATATTCATTTCTTATTATTAATCTGAGATCAAATTGAAAACCTTGATACATTGATTACCAAAGTATAGTAAGAGCGTAAAATTAAACGGATATATGAAGCAGCGAATTAGAATTAATACGTATATCCGAATAAATTGTGATAAAAATTTGAAGAAAATTAAAATAGACGTTTCGATTACGAAAGATTAAATATCTTATCTCAAGCTGCTATGGTATTCAGTGTGTTGAAATTAAGAATAGTTGTACAGTTATTAACACACGTACACGCACATTACGATTATAAGAGGATAACAAGAATGAACCAGTAGAATCTCGATTATCGTGCAGTTTACGAGATCATTAATAGGTAGTTAAATCGGGAAAATTTAGTGGATAATTATATCCAATAAGATCGGTATATTTTCCGTACATAATTAAATCGTTCGTCTTCTTATTATATTATAATTAGTATCGTTAAAATGCTCGAATAGTCGATGTTCTGCTGGATAATTAAGTTAACGTACCTACCCCTTCGTATCGCTTTATCATTATTGGACAAGGGTGACTATATCTACACGAAATATTCTACCTAAATTTTGAGACTTTCCTCTGTCCTAGGTCTCTGCCCGTAATATATATTCTATTTGCCTAATTTCTCCGCGTTTATCTTATTAACTTATCGCTTCGATAATATTCTCGAGCTAATTCGAAGGCAGAGAGACGGAAGAAAAAAAAAAAAAATGAAAAGAAAAAAAAATTACACGGAATTTGATGGTACGTTTTAATACTCCTCTCTCTCCCTCCCCTCCCCTCCCCCCAAAAAGAGAAAAAGAAAGAATTCGGGAATTTTTCTTTGTAATTTTTCTTTTCTTTTTAGGTTTGCTAAAAATTTATGCATGTTTCGCGATTTCACGGGTTTTTTTCTCGGTGTTGGAGATCTGGCCACTCTTGAAATTGAAACGATATTTTTCCCTCCCCCACTGTGGATGATTTTCACGATTTTTACAATCTTGGTTTATGTCGCTTTTACATATCGCTTTTTAACATTTAGTCCGCTAATAATTATTACGAATAACACCAACGTCAATCGTTATCTCGTCGTTTACTCTCATTATCGCTCTTTCCTCGCTTCGATCGCAACACTTTCGATCGAATTGTCGTCGAATCGGGAATGGCAAAGGTTGGTCGCAAGCCAAATCGTTGTCGTATCGTCATTTCATTGACAGATGTTGCCACGATCGAAAGTTTAAACAGCTTTTCACATTCCCGATTCACGAATTTCGTTTAACAACATTTAACATCGGGAAAACGGTGGATTGCGAGATATTCATCATTAATCACAACCTCATTGTTTCTTCGCTTAAGAAAATTCCTCTTCGATTCGAATCGAGAAAAATTAATTTCTATTTTTTTTTTTTTTTTTTTTTTTTTTTTTTTAATAAAAGAATAGCATTTTCATTACTCATTCAAACAGTGTGAAACTCATCTAACGTTCGAGCTAAGTAAGAGTTCCCGGCGAAAGTAAGATTTACGATGATCGACATAGAATATCGCGAGTCTTACTTATCGTTGCTCATGCAACTTCAATATCAGGATATCAAAGATGATTCTCGATTGATGCTCTGTTGAGTAATTTCTCGGTAAACAGTGCGCATGACACGACCAATATTAACAAACTCCACGCTCTTCCTCGTCGATTTCTTTTTTTTTTTTTCTTTTTTTAACTTTTTCATTTTCATTTTCTCGCTGGAAAAATGACAATATCTTGAATTCGAGCACTGATCGGCATCCCGTTGTTTCGGGAAATCTTGAAGAAACAATACACACGCGCGCGCACGCATACGCACACGCACACACACGCTCATACACGCACACATATATATATATGTATGTATACGAGAGAGATCGTGAGATATATCTGGGCGAGCACTGTTCACCGGGCGTGCAAACTTGTTGTTACGCGCACGTACTATATATGTGTATATATAGCGTGTATATATATATATATATATATATATATATATAAATAACGCTAGTGTTAGATTAAACAGAAAATAGTATTTTATGGTTAACTGGTTAAATACATGTGTTGTTTTGTTTCTTGTCCATGATAGGGACAATGACTTAACGCCTATCGAGGGTGGTCAGCTTTCCAACAACAAAGTGTGCTCCGGACACTCTAGTAACCGTTGTGCGAATAATAGTAATAATAATAATGGTAACAATAACAATAACGTGGGTGGCCCGCTGATGTCCGCGGTGGCGCATCTGAACGGTCAAGTGAGTGGTATGAGTAGCCGGGGGTTGGCGGGCACGTCGTCGCACACCGGTACCGCCGGTGCGACATCCTCGAACTCGATAGTGTTTAGCGCGGCCGAGTCGTGCAACCCCCTGCCGTCGCTAACTACCAGTAATCCGTTCAACCACTTTTCGGGGAACATGGACTTGGAATTCGAGCTGTTCCCCAGTTCCACCTGGGACTTGGACAGCAGCAGCGGGTGGGCAGATAGGCCCGAGTCGAGAGCGAGCGGGCCACCGAATTCACGACCATCTTCCCAGCCAGCCCCGACATCTCCGAGTCCCCAGGGAACCTTCTCTAACTCGGCGGTGGCGCCTCACTGCAGTCCCCTACGCGCGTTCAGCCCGACCTCGGCCAACGCCGCTCACACCTTCAGTAATTCCTTCTCCCTCAGTCCGCTTCAGGAATCGACCTCCTCGTTGACGAACAGCGCCGCTAGTAGTAGTGTTAGTGCCAACGGAGCGGCGCCCGGATTGACGCCCAAGAGGCAGGACGAAGGGAAGAGCACCGCCACCGGTTGCCCGACCACCGCCAACCAATCCGTCATCGAGGGAAACAACGGGAGGGCAAGCAATCCCGCCTCCGTTGCTGGGACGCCGGTTGTCGCACAAGCACCGACCGCGGCTCAAACTACCGCGACCGTCGTCGAAACTCAGAACAGTGTCGTGTCCACCGAGTCCGGTAGACTGAGAAACTTGTTGACCAAGGGCGGTAGTGCTAGTGAGGAAACTCAGGACAATACGAGTAACGATACCGAGAGCCAAAATAAGCATAGGATATTAAAGATTTTGTTGAATCAACAAGATGAGGACGATTTTCATCCGGAGCATAATAATAAAGTGCGCACGAGTCCTAGCAACATGCCCAAACCGAGCATGGAGCACTCGAAATCGTCGCTTGGAAATAATATGCTGTTACAGGTAAACCGCTCGATCATTGCCATTACATATGCCCGTCGGACTTGGTCTCCATTTCCCTTCCTTTTCTCAAACTTTCTTCCGATTTATTTGCCGATCGGCCGATATGTCGATAAAAATCGGTCGATCGATCGATCCATACATTTCCACCCGCTATATATCATATCGCGGAAATCTTCTTTCTTGTGATCCAACACCCGATCCAATTTATTTGTTTTTCAAGCTATTGAACGAAAAGAACGACGACGAGGATGAGGAGGCTCGCGCTGGTTTAAAAAAGAGAAACGAACTGTTGCAACAACTTCTCAAAGATCAAGACGATGAGAGGAAAGTACAGGAACAACACGTGAGTAAATCGTATTTTCCATTTTTTACCGTTTCTACTCGAGATATATAAAACCTCTTCTCACCCGTGAAAATAATTCGATGAATATTTCTCTTACCATGAAACGTGTAAGAACATGTGATGTCGAATCCGTTAATCGATTAAACTGTACGACGATTCGAACAGTGTAAGCCGCAAAGGGAAGAGGATTCTCTGTTACGAAATCTTGGATTTCGGAACACCACGCCATCACCGTCTCAATCGGGTGACAACGTTGGACACAGTTCCAGTCAGGTTGGTCAGAAGAGACCCGGCGAAGATGGCGACTTGAACATAGCCGCGAAGCGACCTATGGATGGGTCTCACCAAGTTTCTTCTTCCGGCACGTCCACGAATGCGACCAGCAAGCTCTGGGAGAGGAATAAAATGTTAGCTTCGTTGTTGGCTAAGCAGCCTCCTCAGCCAACCACTATACCGCCAATACCTGCATCTGTGATATCGGCAACACCACAAGTAAATATAATATCGTAATACCCTAATACCTTGGTCAATGTCTCTTCTTTCTTCGTGTTCGTTCTAGAGCTAGAAATAAACAAAAAAAAAAAAAAAGGAAAAATCGAATCGTTAATCGTTTTCTCGTTTATTATTTAAGGATAAGCTGGTCCGCATAGGATTGAAATCGCAACAGCCACAGCCACAAACGCAATCTCAATCGCAGCAGCAGCAACAGCAGCAGCAGCAACAACAGCAGCAGCAGCAGCAGCAACAACAGCAGCAGCAGCAGCAGCAGCAACAGCAACAGCAGCAGCAACCCTGGACAGGTAGCAGTATGCAGTCGGTCGGTGGCAATAATACGATTACGACAACCGCAACTTCTGCACGAACACCGCTCCAAACACAGTCGAGACAACTACCTCATCGTCAAACAACCAATACCTACCTCACTCATATGCTAAGTCAGGTAATGATCGATTCATCGTATCCTAAAAATAATTGGATACGCGATGAAATGAAAATAATTATTGTTGTTTGTTGGATCTTTTTACAGCAACAAAGACCTCAAATGGGTCAAATGGATTCGGAATTTACGAGCAGCGGAGAGTATCGTCAAACAAGCACGGATCTTAATACTTGGGATAATCAGTCGTCGGATCCCGATCTTTCCGATATTTTGGATCAAGTTATCGAATTCGTTCCGGACGAAGCTATTACAGGTATAGAATTGAGCGTCGTTGTCGCTAAAACGCACGAATCGTATCTAATCTATATTCGTCTTTTCACATTTTTCACATTTTTTTGATTATTCGAAGTACATAACTCTATACCTTCGCTGTCACGGCGAATAATATTACAAACGATTTGCGATTTTGCTTCTTTATTTGATCGATGTTTCTTCGTACAGATACGTTTGCCATACATACGATAAGCTAACACACTCGTGGGGAACTATTTGTGTTATGCGTTAACCTGTTACGCGTGACAGCGAAAGTAATTACCATTATAGACGATAATTTTTATTCAATAGATTCGTCTGCGATAGCAAATCTCCTAGATGTAACCGAAGCGCCGCAAAACAACGCGATGAACGAGACGATGGCGATAAACGCGATACAGAAGTCGTTGATGTTATGCGAGACTGCCGTAAATCCAACGTCTTCCACCATAACAATTCCTAGCACGCCTCCAGCTTATTCCACCGCAGTAAGTCGATACCCTTTCTGCGCGTACTTTTTATATATATACGCTCGTAATAATCGTTGGTAATACTTTTACCATCGACCGTTCCGATAATTTCGATTTGTCGAGTTTGTACTTGTTGCAACTGTGTTATATAACAAGTTATCCTTATATATTAATATTTATGATGTAATTTTAGTTGGGTACCACACCTGTAACGACGAGTCATAGTTACCAGCCACCTCCTATGTATCAGCAACAACCGAGGATGAGGTTTAACACGCAACCGGGGATCAGGCAGACGACTGCTCAATTTACGCAACAGCAGCAATTACAATTGCAACAGCAACGGACGAAATTGATACAGCAGCAGCAGCAGCAGCAACAACAATTGAAGCAGAGGTTGCTGCAGCAACAGCAGCAACAGCAATTACTCATTCCTTCCAATGCTACAGCTCCGGAACAAATTACTACCATTCACAATATCGATAACCTTCTGAACAATACTGTTGCGCCAAACGTATCGTTACAGGTAATTGTAAAGTAAAAATTCAACGATCAATATAGTAGGAATAGAAAGAAAAAATTCTATTTCTCTCGTTCGATCGTTGTTTCCAGCGGTCGAGTGTACCAGATTCACAAGTGTCTCCAGGTTATGGGGGATCCGTCCAGATGCCTTCCGGTCACCGACTTGCACATTCTTATTCTCATCCTTCAACGTTACCACAACAGTAAGTAAACTCGACGAATTATGTTATGTAATTATATGTTATATGTTATGTAATTGTATTAAATTATTATGTTGCTTTTTTATTTATTATATATATAACGATCTTTTTCTTTTTTTTTTTTCTCCTCCATAGTCCTATCGTAAACAGTAATTTTAACAGTGGTCAACAAGTGTCTGCGGCAGCACGACTCTCGCCTCATTCTTCCGCTGGTATTTTGTCATTTTCGCATCCGCAACCGTTGTCACCACGAGTGACGCAAGTACGTATCAAGAGTCGTTTAATTAGACTAGGCGTCCTAAATGCCTATTGCGTAGTTTCATTTGTATTTTTAAGTTTTATTTTTATTTAACCGAAAGACCGATGCCTAGTTTCTTAAAATAATTTTCTTTCTTTCTTTCTTTCTTTCTTCTTTCTTTCTTTTTTTCTTCTTTCTTTCCTCTTTAATTACAATTAACCACGAATACGAACGTTTAATTTATTTCTTTCACGTTTTATGACAAAGGGCAACTATGGTAATACCCCGAGATTATTCACCGTTAACCAGGTGAGAACGCAGCAACAATCTACCGCCCAACAACAATTGCAACAGCAACAGAGATCGATGCCGTCACCAGGGACTCCGGCATCTGCTCGGCAATCTCCGTTTCCGGCGGAAACTTTCCCTCCACCTACATCTCCCACTGCTACCCAATTTCCACCTGGCCCTAACCCCGGTGCTCCAAATCCTTCTGCCCAATACCGATTGCAACGGACCACGTCTACACCTTCGGCCACGACTCAATTGCCAGGTAGGTTGATATTCCGTTTCAAAATTTTTTTTTTTATCCTCTACTATTATTGCATATTGTCAGTATTTATATCGAGATTTTTTTTTTTTCGCTCATTATTATAGGTAGTACATTTATTACGTTTCAAATTATATATTGTCGATCGTATAGGTTGTGATATTTTTTTTTTTTATGCGATTGTAAAATGTAAAATTATGCTATTAGTATTTGCGAATTGAATCGTCAAAGAGTTTGTAAACAATTTTTAATGTTTAAGATATTTGTGTAATTAATGCTAATTTTAATTTATCTTTATGTATTTCGTACACAACAAAGCGTTCAAAAGTTCAAAAACAGTGATCGCGTTGTGATTTCGTATCGTCGCGTCGTTATTCGTATGTATATACTCTATATTAGTGCGGTTAATCTTAAGCATTTGTATAAGTAAATATGCATATACGAACGAACGAACGAAAGGTGTGATTTAAACAAATATTTTTTTTTTTATTAATCTAGGTAAGTATACAAGCGATTATACAAATTATGTGTTTTTGTCCTATATATTCAAAGATAAAACGAATACGTTTAAATTAGATATTATCAGTCAAGTTTCTTTAAATTAATAACTTTTATAATATTTTCTCAACAAATATTATTTCGATTAAATTTCTTTACTGTAAGTTTAAAAAGAAATTATACCATTTAAAATGATTTTTAGAATCGATAATTTATCATTATTAGACGAGATATAATTAAAAAATGTATTACATTGTATGTTAGAAGAGAGAAAAAAAAAAAAGAGAGAAAATAATAGGATTTGATATCCGTATCAGCGTTCAAACGAAAGTTATTAAATCATCGATGATCGAAGAAAAGGGTATCGTAATATTATTATACGTATCGAATCTCGAAGCGGAACACGGAGGAAAACTTGATAGAAGCGTTATAACGTTTTTTTGCTATAAGATGGATGGAACAAGAAGATAGACAAGCTTGATGTTGCAGGTGGGGTAGGTTCGCCCCGGCACTACGGCGGAGTGAGTAAGGAACAACCCCTTCTTTCACCTAGTCATCCACATTCGGGTTGCAACCCGGCAACACCGACTCATAATCAACACAACGTAACGAATACCCAACAACACTTCTCCAATCAACAACATTCTTCTATGATATACCACACCGCCAATACTATCAACACAGCTGACATGCAGAACAATCAGTTCTGTTACGATCGGACGACTGTTCCACTCTATTCGTCAGGGCCTGGGGACACGCAGGACGCCAGGCCTTTGCCTCCCGGTAATCCTGTCAATCACCAATTGGGTGGTAAGTCATATGACCACTTAATGTCATGTGACCATCACTTCGTCATCATCACACCCCCTTCCGTATACGCCCTTCTTCTCTGTATCTAAAGTACCCCCCCCTCCCTCGTGTCACGAGATCGAGGCTACGATGGCATGAGATATTCATTCCGTTCAACACACCGTTCTTTTTTTTTTCTCTCTCTCTCTCTTTCTCTTTCTCCTTTCATACGTGGTAAAGATCACGCATCATTCATCATATGTATATCCATCGATGTATCTACTTAAGCGAGTGTAAATATGACGATCATCCAAATCATCATTTAAGCTGCAATGTTGTTTTCATACGCTCGATGTCCTCCCTCTATCAAATTTCCTCTTTTACGTCTCATAGTGGGAAATGGTGCTTGCCGCGTGGCTAATCAAATTCTACGTCGAGTTTCTCGTCATCGAAGTCGCACGAATCACTTCGTCTTCACGAATTCAAAAACGAGAATTCATTCTCGTGCATCGAGGCGTTAATATATCTGTTAATTATCAAGGACATACATCGTTCCTGCTATTCGAATCTTTATCGTTTAATAACACGTATTCGTATGGTTTCTCTGTGAAAGTTGAAGAAATAATCTTTCGTTTTCTTACAGTTTCCAATTATTTCCAAGTGTTTCGCTCGAATTCGAGCTTTGTAACATAAATCTTAGTAGTTAGTGAATCATCACTATAATTCTCTTTTCGAATTCTGTCGTGTATAAGGGGAAATCCAATATATAATAGCATATCTTATCGAAATAGCGTTAAATGTTGCATGATGCTTTTTTGTTCATAGTTCTGTGAATCGGTTATCGTCGTAACTATATACCTATGGATTATATTCTTCGTTCACATTATATGAGTATAAAGTTGCGAATCGAAGAATATTGACCTTTCTTTCCGTTCTTCTTCTTCCTTTCGTTTAAAAGATACGCATACGTTACTCTTTACATTTTTATGGATTTAAATTATTTTTCAAACGTTATATAATATATTTTTTTTAATAATGTTCAATAATGAAAACGAAAAAACTAAGTATTTATACGGGTAACGTGTTCGAATCTTTTTTAATAATATGCGATTGAAAGAAAAGAAGAGACGGCTATCATTAACTGTGAACTAACTTCGACGATTTCACATTCTCATCGTAAAATCCTTTCATTTTGTGAATAATAATTCATACGTGGCCCTAATGGTTATAACGAAATAATTCTTTCTAGAATTATAATAATATAGAAAAATAGAATTTTGTTAAATTCTATTCGAAACATTCGTTCATTCTGTGAAACGTGTCTCGTCCCTTTGGGAGAAACGATCGATCCATCTCCACGTTTTTAAAAATCATATTGTAACATAGTACAAATTCACCCCCATTTACGTGTTATACCCCTTCTCACACTAATTCCAACGATACAACCGTAATGTTCGATTATGCACTCTACTTCTTTTAGCGATGTAGAGATTACACTTTCCTATGGTGATTGTAGACACTGATGTACTTATATGTAATGACATAGTAGATAAGTCATGTAGGAAAGATTGCCCTTTGTATCATATCTTTTTAGGTATTTCTCTTGTGACCCGTATGCGTTAAAATCACCGTACTGTTTAAGATGGAATGGAAACGGAAGTTTGCAAACTTTGATTCAGTAAAAAAAAAAAAAAAAAAAAAAAATGAAGGAAAAAATGAAGAAAAAATACTTATCGATTCTAATCTGATTGGAAAATATCCTATTTTCATAACGAATTATAAAACAAGATTATTTAACAAAGAATAAAATTATTGGAAATTTTCATTTGCCCACTTCCGGTTCAGAACTTGCACTATTTAGTGATTACCTCCGGCACTTCCGGATCATGTAAATTAGCGTCACTGTCACTTGCACCACGTTTATAAAATTTGTGTTACAACTAATATATTGCTCCATATCGTAAGATTGAATTTCTTATATTGGTAAAATTAAAAATATATCGATATGTCGTTTATAGATTTTAAAAATATGTAAAATATATTTCTTTTTTCTTCTTTATTGAACGATTAATTAAACGATATCAAAAACGGTGTTTGTTTATCGATTTGTTAAATTATAAAGATATTTATCATATTATGAAAACATGTTTTCTAACTGATATAAATTAATTTCGCATATATCGATGTAATTTATATCGACTTAAAAGAATTATTACTCATAATTTTCAACTATACGCTTGTTATATCACGCTTCGTTTTTCTTCTATTTATGTTTCTCATCAATCTTCGATCCATTCACGATTTTTATCCATGTGAATTATTTTTATGTGTTTATATTATTCATATACATGTTATATCTTGCGTAATTTTATAATTGTTTGAGTTTAATTAATCCATTATTTCTCTTCTCTTTTTGTTTTTATTCTATTTTATTATTATTATTTTTTAATATTTATCGATATTAGCAGATTTTTGCTTTTTGCAATATTAATTATTCCACAATTTGCAAATTATAAGATTTTATAAAGAAATTTATTTACAAATTGTTTTGTAAAGTTTTTTATTATGAATTTTTATTTTATTCTTTTTCTTTCTTTCTTTCTTTTTTTTTTTTTTTTTTTTACAAAAAACAGAATTATAGAATAACGATCTAACGATCGTATATAGAATTATTAATAAATTAAATATCGACATTGTCGACGAACTTGGCAAGTTGCACGCGAAATGAAAACTATATAACTATATAATGGAAACTTAAAGCATTTAGTTATCTTGATCATTCTCCAATTTCCATTCAATGTTCATCCGGTATCATATAATTAAAAAATAAACGTGAATCCATGGTTCTCAGGATTGTTACGTATGTTTTTAAATAACGAAACTAAGATTCGTTACTAACAAAACTACGACGCATTTTCATGTACAGTGCATCGAGCTTTTTGTGATTAATCATCGTTACTAAACGCAGTGTGCAATAAGCATCGTTAAACACAATTTACGTTAAATGTTCATCTTATACGTGTAATGTTAAATTAGGAAGAAAAAAAAAAAAAGAGAAAAAGGAAGATCAAAACTTTTATACGATGCTTCTTTTGAGAACGAAATTTTGTCTCATTTTTTTGTCAATTACTTTTACTTTTTCTTTTTGTTTCTTTTTCCTATCTTTTCTCCTATCAAGAAATATTTCGTGGTAGAAAATCGTGATAAAATATCCATTAATGGATAGGCCAAAGACCGATTAATTACAGGATAAGTTATTTTATCGAACTTATGTCAACGCAATATTGTGTGTGTATATATATATATATATATATATATATATATATATATCGCATTTTGTAATAAAACATTCATCCTATACCTTTGACTAACTTTTACGTTATGGCTTGCACGATAATACACGATCTATAAGTAACTACTTCTTTACTTAACTTATTATTACCATTGATTTGTTATTAAAGAAAAGTAAAGAAAAAAAAATTAAAAAAAAAAAACAGAAAGATATAAAATAAAATATAAATCGTGATGTATTACGCGCGATGTGTATTAAAATATATAACGAATTTTACTTGATTTTGTGACAGGAAACGCTAGCAGTACTTCGGAATTTGTAAGGCAAGAATTGAGAAGAGCGATCGTTGGGGCGCGAACGCAACAACAGCAGCAACAAAGGATACCTAACAACATTCAGAACAACCTATCCGGACAAGTATCGCAAGATGATCTCGAAGCACTCGGTTTAACGTTCGAAATGTCTTCTGCAGGTACGTCGATCGAAAGTGGAGATTCGTTTTCCCTTTTGAAATTCGTGTGTCTGACGAGAAGGAATGGAAAAGATATTATTTCCCCGCTTAATCTCTTTTTCTTCTTAGAAATTTTTGATCGTTATAATAATCGAAACGGCGTGCGCGTGATCAGTTCGATTATTTTATTTGGAGGAACTCATTTTTCGATCCTTAACGATCCTCCAGTTGGTTTTCTCCATACTAACAAAAAATTTGATTAGTTTTCATTTCGTTCCGCTGCACAATGTTCACCGATTTTTCATTATTATTTCTACACGTTGTAAATAACGCGTGTATTAATGGAAACTGTGAAAAAGTATTACAGGTATCCTGCATATATTATAAATAAAAATTATTTTCGAATTTATTTATATACGTTCAATTTTCTTTTTACTTTTTTTTTTTTTTTTAGAAAAAAATAAGTAACTTAATCTGTAAACAATAATCTTTGTAAATAAGGACGTATTTGACGTATTGACGTATTATTATTAATTATATATCGTTGAATTAAATTTTATTATAGGAAAATGAATGCAGGGATGAGCAAATTATTTAAGCAGTAAATGAATGAATAGAATAGAATTGCTTTCTTTTTTTTATCGAGAGTTTCGGATAAAAGTTATTCTTTTTCGCGGATTAAAAATATTGAATCGAAAGATTGAAACATCGGTCGTTTTATAAAACTTTTTTATCTCTCGTGTGCGTGAGAATAAAATAGCTATCTGTGTGTCTACTACGTATATGTGTACAGGATTGAAAGGTGTGCCCGACACACAAACACGATTACGCCCGCTTCTTGTAAGAAAATGCAAATTACTTCTAATAAAAAGACTGGTGGTAACGCCTACTGTTACAATGTCCTAACTAGGTGAGGCTGTGGTTAGCGATGGCCCTGCCAAGAGCTGGGCCATTGGGAGTACCGGAAGTGCCCCCTCGTCCTCCAGGGTAAGACCCTTCCGACAATTACTTTTACGTATACGTATATATTATATATTTATATATACATATATACTTATTTACTTATCTCTCTTTCTCTTTATATATACAATTTTTTTTTATCTATCTATTTATTTTCTTTTTTTTTTTCAAATTTATTTCCATTTTGATTTTGTATGCTATGTCTTCCCTTCTTCGCTTGGCTTCAAAACTTATTGTGCACGACATGTTTAATGAGTACTTTTTTTTTTTCTCTCTCTCTACGCACTGAGCGTAAAACTTGTAGAGGATATTTTAGCGCTCTCTTTTTGCATGCGTCACTCTTTCAACGTCATTATATTTATTTAATTGTCTATTTAAGTTTAGTAGAGGTATCCATGAGAATATCCGTGTATATCGTATCGTACTGCGTATCGAGAAATAATATTTTTTTGGAGACAAATATATTACGTGTCTTCCTTTTCTCTAATTGTTGTTTTTTTTTTTTTTCTTACAATTTTAGTTAATCGAATACGAGTAGATATTTTAAATTTCGATGAGTAAGTTCTCTAAGTCCTCTATATTCGCGAATATAGACGTTTATAAGAAACTTTGTACGATTGATCAGTCTTCCGTGCACGTACAAAGAATACACGTTAGAAAAGTGTGATAAAGCCATCAACTTGTTTGATTTGTTAAGCGTGATTATTCGTATTTCAATAATTCTTTTTCTCTTATTTTTTTATTTATTTTTATCTATTATTTTTTTTTTTGTATTTAGAGCCGCAGAAATAATCGTAATGAGTTATTGAACGTTAATCAGAGAAAAATTGGAATTTCTTATTATTACATCTCTCTTCTAATCATATTTTAATAGAAATGGAATATTTTTTTTTGGTATATCGAAGATTCTTGATAAATTTTCATGATATAATAACATAGTATGCTTATTTTATTCAAGTTTTACACTCAGTGGCAACTTATAAATTAATAAATGCAACTTTTGCCTTTTTATGTAACTGTATCAGTTAGTCTAATATTATCGCTGCAAAACCAGAGATACAGTCTCGAAAAATGACTAGAAATTCTTTAATTAAATGCGTCCCATACGATCTATTTACCGTCATATTTTTATGCATAAAACTAATTTTATTTATTTTTCTATATTGTATTAACTGCAAATAACCATGTAAATGTAATATCTTTTATTGTTCGCGTATAATAATTCTAGATATCAATGTTATTCTTTTCGATGATGAAAAAAAAAAAAGAAAAATTCTGAAACGATTCGAAAGATGAAAAAAAAGTTCAATTCTTGGGTTTTCAAAAAAACCCGTGTAGGTGTTTAAAAATTAATATATTTAAAAAAAGAAAAAGAAAAAAAGAGATATTTGCTGCATTGTATTTATATGGTATTTTTTTTCCTTTAAAGCTGCTATATTTTAGTTAAATTAGAAAAAAAAAATTGAGCATCTAGTTATTTATTCGTTGATGTTTTCAAGCATAAATATGATTGGTGCGGAGACACGTTGTTTCCTCTATATTTCTACAGGGTGATGGTGCCGTAAGCTTAAGCTCATTCGAAGTAATCAATATTAATCACACTGCCATTGTTGTATCGTGTAACGTACATTTAGTATTGTAATGCTTTTTCACAGTGAGCCAAATGGACATCTAAGCGCGTAGCTCCTTATTACTATTTTTCTATCGTATGCTGATTGCTCCCGTTGCATGAGGCAGAACTATTGTTACGTTAAGTTTCACGGAAGTGAGAAGAAACAGCAGCCTCTGAAGGCCATTCGCGAATATTTTTTTTTTTTTTTTTTTTTTTTTTTTAAATTAAATTCTCTGTATCTCAATGGAATTTTCTATATTAATATTCTTTATTAATACTTTTAATTCGCGGACGGCTATAACGAATCTTTCTTTCTTGCCCATTTATTTTATTTTATTTTATTTTATTTCTTTTTTCAACGTTATTAGATTAGCGGCCTTTGGTGTGCATTGGAACTTTGAATGTTAGCGAACATATGTGGCTTTAGTACAGTTTTTTTTTTTGAGTTTTGACTTTGCGTTCGTCTCCGCAGAAGCATTCTATCAAAAACGATATCGATCTATCGATCGATTTGAATTCCAAAAAGTTTTTCAAGATTTTTTTTGCCGTTTATTTTGTGCTTTTTGTGCAGAAGAAAATATAAGATGAGGCGTGAGTATTCGAAAATGTATTTCGATCGAATTCGTGATTTGAAAAAAAAAAAAAGAGCCAACGTGATATTCAAAATTAATCGATTAAAATTTTTAATTAAAACTCGATTAAATGATTATGATTAAAAAGAATATATTTCAAAAATTCGTGAATTTTTTTATTTTATTCGATTATACGATTTTTGAATACTCGCAAACCCATTAAACAGAAACGCATTAGTTTTGAGTCACGTATTTTATAAATATTCAAAATGTGGATATGGACGGATTATTTAACGCGATCTTTTATTCTAAATTATTATTATTTATTATTATTATTATTATTATTATTTTTATATTGATTTAACATCACTTTTATATTTTATCTGTAATCGATTTTAAAAATATTTTTTTTTTTTTTTTTGGAATCATTTATATATATTTATTTCTCTCCATTTCTTACATATGTCAAAAAATATTTCTCTTTAGTGTTTTGTTAAAAAAATGTTTCATTACGTAACATAATGTAATATCGTGAAATCAAAAGTAGCACAGAATAATAATTGATATCGTATCTCTTGCACGAAACAATTATTGAATTATGCAACAAATATATACACAACACATATAACTTCACGATATCATTCTCGTATTCTTGTCGCGCAATATTCTGTCCAATTTTTTTTCTACATTTTGAACTAAATGACAATTAGAAAAAAAAGAGAAAACGAAATAAAAACAAAAAATAAAACTGGTTGCCACTATCTTAAATCTCTTATTAGAAAATCTCGTAAGATTTAAATATATCGATTAACAGAACGAAATTAATTTTTCAGACTTCTATGGAGGAAGTGGCTCGAGGTGATCCAAAGGTGAATCAATCGTCCCTGTTACAAAAACTGTTGTCCGAGTGACTGCCGGCCAACATTTTGCACGGTAAAGGGATCTATATAATATACGTTTAAGCACGAGACCAGAAACAGGAAGAATGAAAACAGGAATCGAGGATCGTAGCAAAGAAGAAAATATAAATAGAGGAAAAATATCGATCGTATATACATGCATATACACCTTATACGTAATGGATACTAATTGTATTATATGTAAGCGTTGCAACACACGAAGTCAGTATTCAGATACGTATCACCAAATACAATGTTGAAAGACGATTAAAAAAAATTAAAGAAGCTAGATAAACGTATCGTGCTTTCCGTTCTTTTGCCTTGGTATTCTTCAAAATCGCGAAACAAAATGTCATGGAAATATCGAACGATACATCGATATTTAATTTCATTCGAACTCGAAGGACCAAAAGTTTCTCGTTTCCCGTTTGGCTGTGTCGAGATTTTTTCGGTGAATGTATTACCTTATTCTCGATCTCGTTGAGATGAATAATCTGTATTTTGCGCGAGGGATTAATCGAGAAGACTGTGTGAATCTATGATTGATGAACGATCGATGGATCGGAAATTCAAGAAAAGAGTTTGAAACATTGATTTCGCGATTCGATGAAAATAAGTATACAAGGACGCGGAGAGCACGATAATTTTATATATATATATATATAAAACATACATATATGAGTATGTATATATACATATATATATAAAAGGAAGGAAGCCTTTTTCGGGAAATCTTAGCTTCGGATAATATTTGAGTATAAATATATAAATATATAAATATAAAAATATAAAAATATAAAAATATAATACCGACACGATGGATTGACGGCCGTGTAACTCTTATGTTCAGGGTTGCTACACATTGTCGTCAGTATTGTATTTGGTATCATTTGAAGAAACTACGTAGGTACCTCAAAGGTATACTTTATTATACCATTGGCTGTTTGAACATAGAACTATTTATAGGTTTAATTATTGTACACAAGAGGATGATAAAAATGAAAATGAAGATAAAGAGGAAGAAAACGAAAGAAAACAAATAGAGCACTATTTCACGTATTCTCTTAATTTAACGATCCTTTTTGACTATTACATTTATGAATAATATATTTGTGATTGTAAGAATCTGCAACCAAAATGTGACAAAGAATACTTGTTGTTGTTAATATGATTATAACTATTATTATTATAATAATTATTATTTTATTTTATTTTATTATTATTTTTATTATATTATTTTTATTATTATTATTATTATTATTATTATTATTATTATTATTATTATTATTATTATTA